TGCCATTTTATTTTGTGTTGGTTTTGCCTGTAAGTTTCTCCTATAAAACTGAATAAAAGACTCATGTTTTCACCTTTAGGAAATGCTGAATGTTCATGATCTTTATCAGAACATGAAACATGTAATTTCAGCTGATAAGTCCAATCCAAACAAAACCCTCAGCTTGGTAAAGGATGATTTCTTTGATAATATTAAGACCATAATTTTGGAGCATCAGCAGTGGCACAAAGACAGGAAGGTATGTGACTGCTTTTTGATACCTCACCTTTGCAATTGCACTGAACACAGAAGGGTGATAATGTTGAGAGGCAGCTAGCTGAGTGGCTGCCTGCATTCCTGTGGACCTAAGATTTGGAGGGCTTTACTTATTTTTGGCCACTTATTAGCTATGTGATGTTCTTTAGCCTTACAAACAGATTTTATATAGATTACATCTATAACCAAATAATAATAATAACAATTACGTAATGTATAATTAAGTAATATATGTAACTATATAATTATAGAGGAATGAGTCATCCTGGCGTACCACAGATTTCTTGCAGTCTTTAAAATTTAGCATCTTCTGGAGGTTGCGCTCTGTGGGCCAAATCCTGCACACAGATGTGTTTTGTTTGGCACAGCGTTGATCCTAACATTGTTTTAAAAATGTGAGTTAATTACTAACGTAAATATCTGTAGACTTCATGCAAAATTCCAGACACCCAGCTTCTCTTAAAAGTCAGAGCTCTGGCAGTCCTGGTCCCGCCGTGCTGCATGGCAGCAGAGAGCTGGACCTGAGTGGTGGCTGCCCCCATTGTGCTCTGTCAGCCTTGGTTTATTCATTTACAAGTTTCATCAACGCATCTGCAATTTAATTTCCTGACCCAAATACTGAGGCTAGAGCTACTCATATTCCACATTAACCTTTTCAGCTGGAGAAACTCTTTTACTCTGGAAACCTAAAGGCCAGCCTTTGAAACCACTACTCCATCTTATTTTATTAAATGCTTCTAAAAAAAAAAAAGTAAAAAGAAGCAAATTTCTGATTACTTACTGTGAATGTGATAATGTGTTAATGTTTTCTCAAATGCTAGATAAGGTTTCAAAGATTTGTTGCTTCTTTGGCTTTCCATTATATAAAAGGAGCTGGCTCAAATTCATTTTAGAAAAAAAATACAAGAAAAGTGATGAGGAGATGACAGTCTTGGGGAGAAGGAAATACTTTGCTTTCACATTGATTTTAATGAGGTAGAACATTTTAGAATGTTTGAATAGTACTCCCTTTTAACAAACTATCTTTAATGATTACTAAGATATTACTAAGACCTCTGAAAATTTGAAGGAAAGGAGAATAAACCAATTTTCCTTTCCACATAAAATCCTCCTTCATTAGGATGATTAAGGCATTTTTTTGATGAATTTTAGAACTATTCTGAAACCTAACCATGATCTTAATTGTCAGGTGGTGAACCATCCTGTATAATAAAAGGCTAATATGCAAATTGTCCCCTGGACTGGGAGTTTGACCAGGTTGTGGGGCCAGCCGGCCAACTGCCTGTGCCCCTCCCCTCAGCTGGCCCGTCCCCGATCAGGGTGGGTCGGACCCCACTCATGCACAAATTCATGCACCAGGCCTCTAGTCTATAATAATAAAAGTATAATATGCAAATTGACCACGCTATGACATGCACTGGTGCCAGGCCAGCCAAGGTGGTTGCGATTGGTCGGGGACCCCCGCCATCGCCCCACGATCGCTCGGCGAGGGGGGCCCAGGCCACAGGCCAGTGGGGCCATCAATTGGGAGTGGGTGGGCTCTGTGATAACCCCTGAGAGGGAGGCCCTGGCTACCTGGCTGGCAGCGCTGAGGTGGGTGGGGCCTCCCTCTGTGGGGTGATAGATCGTGGAGCTCCCAGACTGCGGGGGCATAGGCCGGGCTGACATTAACATGTCAAATTTTGTGCACTGGGTCTCTAGTACTTCAATAATGTGAAATGATCTTTCAGCTTTTCAATAATTAAGTAAGTGATTCTCATTGTTGTGAAATGACTTGCAATTAATGTTTAGATCATTTGAATTGTTAATGTGTCTATATAAATTTTCGCTCTTTCAGAATCCATCCTTAAAATTGACAGGTAAAGATGGAGAAGAAGAGAGGGAAGGAAATTCACAAGAATCAGAGGTCAGAAAAATTCACAGTGATTGCTGATAGGACAGTATTTGATTCGCTTTTTATTTTATGTGTGGCTATGATTCTGTATACTAAGCATCATGATTTTTGGTCAGTATTCATAAATATCTTAGAAAATTCTAAAACCTGGGTTCTGTGACAAGCTAGTCTACTTTTACTGGAAACCTTGTGTAAGACAACATCAGGTGTCGATTGGGAGTGAGGGTGTTGACAGGTTTCAGCAGGGGAAGGGAAGGATGATGCTGGAGTGCCAAGGGCAGAATTAGGGTTTTGTATTATGTCTTTTCTTGCTTCCTGTCAGCCTTTCAGTTGGTGTGGAGCTCAAGCTACTCAGTACTGCTTCCTACCTCTAGAGCAGCGGTTCTCAACCTGTGGGTCGCCAACCTATGGGTCGAGACCCCTTTGGGGGTCGAACAACCCTTTCACAGGGGTTGCCTAAGACCATCAGAAAACACATATATAATTACATATTGTTTATGTGATTAATCACTATGCTTTAATTATGTTCAATTTGTAACAACGAAAATACATCCTGCATATCAGATATTTACATTATGATTCATAACAGTACAAAATTACAGTTATGAAGTAGCAACGAAAATAATTTTATGGTTGGGGGTCACCACAACATGAGGAACTGTATTAAAGGGTTGAGGCATTAGGAAGGTTGAGAACCACTGCTCTAGAGGTTTCATCCATCTTAGTGGATGAGACAGGAGCTGTCTTTGGGCATAGGCCAATGAGGTGGAATGGCTTCATCACCAAGGCTTTTGTTTATATTATCCTCCTTAAATCCTGAATGAAAACAATCAGTAGCTATGGCACCTGCTGTGAAAATGTGGTGTGTGTTTTTGTATCTTTACTTTCTTGTACCCTACCTCTGTCTAAAATCTTATTTCTGTGGGTATTCATAGTTTCACTTAATGTTTATGTTTTAACTTTCCCCCTTCCTTTGTATTTTTATTTCCAGTCGTGTGAAAGGGCAGCATCATTAGCAAAAATAAAATCCAAGGCCTTTGCAGTTGTTGTTCAGGTAAGTTATTTCTCTATTAAGGTGATCTAGAAATTGACTTGATGCTTTTTTAATTACATTTTTATTTTTCATCTGAGTAATACATGTACATAGTTTTATTTTTTTTAAAATACATTTTATTGATTTTTTACAGAGAGGAAGGGAGAGGGATAGAGAGTTAGAAACATTGATGAGAGAGAAACGTCGATCAGCTGCCCCCTGCAAACCCCCACTGGGGATGTGGCCACAACCAAGGTACATGCCCTTGACCGGAATCAACCCCGGGACCCTTCAGTCTGCAGGCCGACGCTCTATCCACTGAGCCAAACTGGTCAGGGCTGTACATAGTTTTAAAAGGCTGATAATACTGTGTAGTTTGTATAACCCAACAGTTTCCTGCTCCACCACTTCCCACCCCTGTATGCCTAATCTCAAGAGGCAACTGTCTTCAACTTTTTCTGTTTTATTTATTTATTTATTTGTATTATTATTTTTAAATATACCATTTTTTAAAATATATTTTTATTAGTTTCAGAGAGGAAGGAAGAGGGAGAGAGAGTTAGAAATATCAATGAGAGGGAATCATGGTTGGCTACCTCCTGCATGGCTCTTGCTGAGGGTCAAGCCTGCAACCCTGGCATGTACCCTTGACCGGAAATGAACCCAGGACCCTTCAGCCCACAGGCCGGCATTCTGTCCACTGAACCAAACTGGCTGAGGTTATTTTAATTTTATTTTTTAACTTTTCCCCTTTTAATTACTTCTGGTATTTACCTGGAATTTTGATGCCATTGTTCTTTTTTTTTTGCTTTTTTTTTTTTTTTTTTTTTTTTTTAAATCCTCACCTGAGGATATTTTTCCATTGATTTTTAGAAAGAGTGGAAGGGAGGGGGAGAGACAGAGGAACATGGATGTGAGAGAAACACATCGATTGATTGCCTTCTGCACTCACCCTGACCAAGGCCAGGGATGAGCCTGCAACTGAGGTCTGTGCCCTTGACTGGAATTGAACCCGGGACCCTTCTGCCCATTGCCGATGCTCTATCCACTGAGTAAAACTGGCCAGGGCGATGCCGTTGTTCTTTATTGTCTTCCAGCTTTGGTTTTCTTGTTCTTGGAAGGTTTTAGAATTTTCTCTTTATCCCAGGAGATCTGAAAGTTCATGATAATGTAACTTGATGTAGGTAATTTTCTCTCATTGTCCTTGGCTCTCATGGGTGGGTATCCTTTGATCTGATAACCTTCAGTTCTGAGGAATTTTTTTTGTATTGTTTCTTTGATAGAGTTCTTTGCTGCATTTTTGCTTTTTCTTTTCTTGAACTTTTTTTTTTCTGTTTTTAATCTGTTTTTAGAGAGATTTCTTAAACTTTGTTTTCTGAACATTACATTGAATTACTTTATTTCTGCTGACATTTTTTCACTACTGATTTTTGTCTTTGAATCTTTTTCTACTTAAAAGTATCCTTTATTTTTTATTTTGGATGCATTATCTTATCTCTGTGGATATTAATTACGGTTTTTTGAAGTTTCCTCCTTTTCTCTTGGAGTTCCTATTTTGCTGGCTTTTTCAAATGTTTGAAGATTCTTGGATCATTTTTAAGCTTGGTCATGTGGAGATACAGCATTTTAATCTCAATATTTCTTTTTCTTGGATATAGTCATTTTTACCAGATAGCAATCTTCCATTCCCTGTCTGGGGAAAGAAAGTGGTGAATAAACCCACCTGCCAGTGTTTGGGAAGCTGACTGAGAGAATTAATCTAGAGACTTACCATTCCTATGTAAGTTTCATTTAACCTCAGCTATACCAGTTTTCCCAAGCCTACAGCTTCTCTGGTTTAGACTCTCTAGAGAGCAAACCTATTTCCCACAGAATGAGGTCAGTTGTTTAGTTTTGAGGCTGAGAAATGGTACTTCTGGGATGCCAGAGGGATGTCTGACTGCCAGCTTAGGCCCGATCCCCTAGGGCAGGGATCCTCAAACTATGGCCCGCGGGCCACATGCAAATACAAATATTGTATTTGTTTCCGTTTTGTTTTTTTACTTCAAAATAAGATATGTGCAGTGTACATAGGAATTTGTTCATAGTTTTTTTTTAAACTATAGTCCGGCCCTCCAACGGTCTGAGAGACAGTGAACTGGCCCCTTGTTTAAAAAGTTTGAGATCCCCTGCCCTAGGGGATCGGGCCTAAGCTGGCAGGTGGACATCCCCTGAAAGCTCCCAGACTGCACGCAGGCCGGGCTGAGGGACCCCCACTCCCGAGTGCACCAATTTTGTGCACCAGGCCTCTAGTTGTAAAGATAAAGGAGTATTTATATGTGACAAGTATCAAGCAAGCCAGTGTAATGGTAAACTACTTATGACAAATATTGTTGTAAATCTTTCCTCGTCTTTGATTGTGTATTTCGTCTTTATCAGCTGTATTCATTTCGCAATTCATCATAGTTAATTGGATTTCTTACTCTTAAGGCTTCCAAGTCAAGAAGGCATCGCCAAGTCAGACTTGACTCTTCTGACTCTGATTCTGCCTCTGGTCAAGCAACCAGGGAAAAAAGAAAGAAAGAAACATTGAAATCCACTGGAAGGAAGAAGTCTTCCAGAAAAAGAGGTAACTTTTTAAAGTGTTTTTGAGACTCTACAAGGGAGAATGGGTTTTATTTACAATCTCCCCTCACTGATTTTTTGTTATTAAAAAGGACTAAATACTTGCTTGACTGAGAACCTTGTGAGATCTAACACTAAAAATAAATGAATTATCTTAGATTCTTAGAATCTTATTGCTGAAAGAGACCCTAGGAGAGTCATAAAATCCATTATTTCATAGATAATGAAATTTTGGTCCATATCTATACTAATAAAAGGGTAATATGCTAATTAGCCAGGTCGACTGGACATCTTCCAGATGTCCAACTTCCTTCCGGAAAGTTAGGGGGCGTCCAGGCCAGCAGGGGTGCACTTAGGGGGCAGCCAGGCCAGCAGAGGGGCAGTTAGGGGGCAACCAGGCCGGCAGGGGGGCAGTTAGGGGGTGATCAGGCCGACAAGCAGAGGGAATTAGGAGCGATCAGGCAGACAGGTAGAGTGGTTAGGGGCAATCAGGCAGGCGAGCGGTTAGAAGCCAGTGGTTAGGTCCCTGTGGGATGGGGCCTAAATCGGCCCAGGTGCTACCCAGGGTCCAGAGGTCAGCTGGGACCTGTCCTTCCATGCCAGACTCATACACTTTGATCGCCAGCCAGGCCTAAGGACTGCACTCATGCACAAATTTCGTGCACTGGGCCTTTAGTAGATTAATAATATAACTTGCTTAAAGTGATATAGCTAGACAGTTATAGAATCAGTCTAGAACTTTCCAGATTATACTTTATTAGTAGTTCTTGTGTGTGAAACCAATGTGTAAAATAAGGTATGATAAGCAGTAACACTCTGTAAACCATATTTCCCTCTGGCTGCGCTAATTAAGCTGTACCTGTTTTTCTTTTGAAATAGTGTATCTATAAAATTCCCTTTGGTATTTGGTTCTTAAAGAAATGACTATGTATTTTAATAGCTTAATTTTTAAAAGTTATACAGATAAGATATGTATTCATCATACATAAAGTTGGAGTTTGATTAGCAGGCTCAGGGGGAAAAAGGAGCACTAGAAACATTAAATATTTAGTGACTTATATAAAACACATTTCTACCTACTACTGGGAGTAGCATGGTAGGTAGGTGGGAACAAACTAAAAATAGGAACACTAAGTAAAAGGCTGTATTGGAGTAATGATTATCTGACCAGGTGGTTGTAGGAATTAGATGAGTAGATTAACAGATATGACAGCCAATGTATATCTATAGGTAACCAGATATAGAAGGTGATGGAGAGGGATTAGACAAGGATGCTTAATGCTTAAACAGCTGAGGGAATATTGGTGCCTTTAACAGAAATAAGAATCACAGGATGAAGTTTTCATTTTGGGGTTGGGGTGGATGGATATATACCAATCTGCCTTTTCAAGCAAGATTCCTACAATAGCTCTCTAGCACATAAATAGGTGCTTAGTATATTGATTGGATTTACTAGGTTTGTTTTACTTGCTCACCATTCTTAGAATTTAACATGAACATTTCTGGAAGGACATTAGTAAGAGTAATGATGATAAGATGATGAAGAGGATCTTATGTAACCTTATTATTGTATTTTTTAAAACATATTTTATTGATTTTTTACAGAGAGGAAGGGAGACAGATAGAGAGTTAGAAACATCGATGAGAGAGAAACATCGATCAGCTGCCTCCTATACACTCCCTACTGGGATTGTGCCCACAATCAAGGTACATGCCCTTGGCCAGAATCGAACCTGGGACCCTTAAGTCTGCAGGCTGACGCTCTATCCACTGAGCCAAACCGGCTAGGGCAATGTAACATTATTTGCCCAACTTTTTTCACATGTCTAAGTCACCTAGCTACTAAATAGAGCTGAGACTTGAATGAATGGCAATCTGCCTGAATCCAAGCCTGAATATTTAATTGCTGTCCTTGCTGTCTCTCGGTCATTGGAATGTGGGTCTGGAGCTCAAATTAGACATGCACTTAAGTAAGTTGTATTCGAGCTGCATGTCTAGTAATCATTAGTTTTGAGATTGAGCAATACTCTATTACTTTTAATTACATCCCACACGGTTTGCTTTGAGCATAGTAAAACTATCCATCTGACATTGTTTGGGGAATTAGTTTTGTGGATAATTGAGATTAATGATTTAAGTGTCAAAATTTACTTTTTAAAAGTTTAATTATTCTGGTTGGTATCTTTTTAAACATATTCTTCGCTGTATGTTTCTTGCTTTCTGTAATGTGCATTTATCATTTTTATAATTAGAAAAATACTAAAATTATTTTTTTATGTTCTCCTATTTTCTAAAATGTATCCTGAACATAATTTAATTTTCTCTATGACTCAGGGTTCGCATCATGAGCATATGATTTTACTGGGTTTTATAATACAATGATCCTATCAAGTGGGGCATTTTATCTTTAAACTCATGGCTTCATGCTGCAGTTCTGTGTCAGCTCTGTGTCCTATTCTTTAAATATAGTTTTTCTGTCGTACTCATTGTGGTGGGTGTCTTCTCTCTGTTCTCAGTGTGCAGGCTTGTAGCAATTTTTTTTGTTCTTTTGCTACTTCTTAATTGTAATGGTTTAAGAAACTGTCCATTCTTCTTAGTTTTCTGTAATATAAATGTAATTAGGTTCTGCATAAAGGCTGAGGAACATACCTGTGACTGAAGTTTGTGTACTTCAGTTTATTTTATTTTTTGGTTAATCTTCACCAGAGGATATTTTTCCTGTTGATTTTCAGAGAGAGTGGAAGGGTGGGAGGGAGAGAGTGAGGAGAAAAGAGAGATAGAGAGAGAAACATGGATGTGAGATGTTTCTCCTGCTCCTGCCCCAACCTGGTATGGGGATTGAATCTGCAACCCAGGAATATGCCTTTGACTGGAAATCAAACTTGCGGCCCTTTGGTGCAAGGGCCGGCACTCTAACCATGAGAAACACTTGTCAGGGCTCATGTGCTTTATTTAATACCAGAGGCTTTGTGCATAGGTGAGGTCCCTTGGCCTGGCCAGCGATTGGGGCTGATGGGGGCTGGGGTGGCTAGCTGGGGGGAAGGACAGCGGGAGGTTGGCCAGCTGGCTGGGCGGTGGGAAGGGGTGGGACCGCGGAAGGTTGGCCTGCTGGGGGTGGGGGGACCATGGGAGGTTGGCTGTGGGAATGCACTGACCACCAGGGGGCAGCTCCTGTATTGAGCATCTGCCCCCTGGTGGTCAGTGCACATCATAGCAACCGGTCATTTGGTTGCTTAGGCTTTTATATATATAGACTAGAGGCCTGATGCACGAAATTCATGCAAGAGTAGGCCTTCCTTCTCCCGGCTGCCAGCACCAGCTTGCCTCTGGCACCTGGGACCTGGGCTTCCCTCCTGCCATCAGCAGGCACTGGGCCTCGGGCTTCCCTCTGGCTGCTGGCAGGCACCTGGACCCCAGCTTCCCTCTTGGCTGCCAGCAGGCACCCGGGACCTGGGCTTCCCATACAGTCCTGGCTTTGTCCAGGAGGTCATTTGGAAGGATGTCCAGTCTCATTAGCATATGTCTAGTCTATTATTATAGACTAGAGGCCCGGTGCACAAAAATTTGTGCACTCGGGGGGGAAAGGGGGTCTCTCAGCCTGGCCTGTGCCCTCTCGCAGTCTGGGACCCCTCGGGAGATAATGCCCTGCTGGCTTAGGCCTGCTCCCGGGTGGCAGAGGGCAGGCCCAATCCCTAGGTGCAGCCC